ATTCGGGCTGAATTCAGAAGAGGAAGCCGAATGAGGGATACAATTGCTGATGACAGATGGATTTTGTCTGAAAGCAAATATTTACCTCTGTTTTAGTCACTAAGAAGAGGCATTTGATTGCATGGATCATAATCATTGGGAAGAATTAAATTTTAGAACACTTAATTGTGCTCATGCAGAGCCTGTACATAGACCCAAAGACAGTTGATCAAAAGAACAAGTGGCCACTGTGTGGCTTAAAATAAGAAAAAGTGTGTCTTAGGGTTGTATACTTTCACCATATTTATTCAATTTGTATGTTGTGCAAACATCTGAGAAACTAGTCTATATGAAGAACCTGGCATCAAGATTGGAGGAAGACTCATTAAGAAGCTGCGATATGCAGATAACACAACCTTACTTGATGGAAATGAAGAGGACTTAAAGCACGTAATGATGACGATCAAAGTTTACAACTTTCAGTATGGATCCCATTTTAGCATACAGAAAGTGAAATTCCTCAAAACTGGACTAACAAGCAGTATCATGATCAATGGAGAAAAGACTGAAGTTGTTAAAGATTTCATTTTACTTAAATCCACAATCAAGGCTCATGGAAGCAGCAGTTAAGAAATCAAAAGGTGTATTGTATTATGAAAATCTGCAAAGGACTGCTTTAAAATTATTAAAAAGCAAGAATGTCTCTTTGAGGACAAAAGTGTTCCTGATCCAAGCTATAAGCTAAGGTGGTTTCAGTCACCTTATATGCATGTGTAAGATGGACAATGAAAAAGGAAGACCAAAGAAGAATTGACTCCTTTAAATTATTGCATTTTTAAATAAGCACCTCTATTAAAATTCATACATTTTATTAAAATCATAAATAAACCTCTCAAAATAATTTGACTGGTGACCTCCATATTTTAAATTACATTGCCTACTCCAACCATTTAGAATGCCTTTTATCATTTATAAAAATTTAAATTAACTAAATGAATGTGGGAGAATTCCTAAATAAGTATTATAATTCAATATAAAAATTGTAAGTATTATATAATAAAGCATAAGATATTAGAGCAATAAACATATTTTTTTCCATGTTAAGTCAATCTTATGTTTTGTGTGTGTGTTTTGTTTGATAAACTAAACAAACTGAATGAAATGATTCCAATTTCTTTTGTTAATAAGGAGAACAACAACCTCCATATAGAACAGATAAATGTTGACTATAGTCAAAGCTCCTTTAGGTAATAAGGTTACAGCCTCATCACTATGGGTTTTGCAAATGTGTTTTCCACAAGGATGCTATGAACAAATAAATACACTTCCTCAGGTAGATTCTCAGCTGGATTTACTAGAATGGCCATGTAGATTGATGAATAACAGCGGCTTCAATCTCAGTCTCATAATTTCGTCTTTCTTTGCCTCTTATTCTACAGAATCCCATACTTCCCTATTATCCAGTACTACATGGTTAACCCCTAAAGTAGCAGGGATACAAAGCACCCTGGTCTAGCTCTATGGGGGCAATCATTCTATGGGTCAGAATTTGATTTATAGCTTAATTTTGAACATCTGCACTTTCCTCAAGTGATACCTGGATCCTCTCTCTCTGACAATAGTTGATTACTAGGAATTAATAGTCAGTTGTTGTTTCATTGAGCTAAATATGCAAATTAACACTATGAAATCTGACTTTCAGAGGCACATTTTTAGGTGCCAACATCTGATATCTCATTTATTACAAGATTCATAAAGGAGTCATTCTTATTCATGTTAATATTCTCATTGTGAATAAAGCCATTAAAATTAATCATTAAAACTTTTTGTTATAATTTGGCAGAAACCCTGGTAATTAGAATTGATCAAGAAGACTTACTGCATACAGGTTTCCTGAGAACAAATCTGCACTGATTCACCTCTAGGATGTTTGCTTTATTTTATATATTTTATTTGTCTAACCTGTAATGCTTTCTAAGAGCTCCTCATAGGTGTTTTCTTCACTTTGTTCTGTACTTTTATTTTGACAAACAGTATTGCTACAAATCGCAAGAAAAAGTTACTGGTAACATTTTATTATTCCAAAGGGAAATTAAAGGAGGTATTCTGCCTCATATTTAATATTTAATACTACAAAAAGAATAAAAATGGCAATCATAAAATATGAATGCATACAGCTCAAAGGAAAAAAAAACAAAAACCCTAAAACTAAAGTCTCAAGAGAAGAGAGGAAAGAAAAGGAAAATGAGAGCTAAAATATATGAATTCATCATACCATCTCCAAAATTATGTTTGGTAGTCAGTCGAGAAATTGTTGCAGAGGTCAGTATATTATATTTGGTTTGCTTGTCTTGAAAAATTAATAGACTTTACCATGCCATGATAATTCAGTAAAATATACCAGTTAAAAAGAACAATTATTCAGTTACTGAGTTATACAAAATAACCCCTTATATGCTAATGTATGTACTATTACAGCAATATGCCACTTATAATGTGACCATCATTGGCCTAAGTGCTTTACACAAATATAATTGTATAATTCTTACCACAATCCTCTATCACTGCCCCAATCTACAGTGTAGAAGCTGAGTCACAGAGAGGGTAAATAAACTTGTTATAAATTTCATAAGTGATATAAGATATACAATGTAAATGACACAAAGTGATTCAAACACAAGCTGACTCATTTCAGTCTGTGCTCATAACCATTGCACACTTTGGCCCCACCTAGGAAGCACTTATATACCTGTCTCTGTGTTTGTAACTAAGAGTTCATTTGTGCACATTTTAATTATTTGTATAATATTGAAAAAGTATCACCCCAAAGTACTTTACATTGAAAAGGAAAACTGACAAGGACTGAGAGAGAACAGTTCAAGGAAATAGTTTCACGGCAGTGAAAATGGAATCTGAGAGATGCTGGCCATTGATGCAAAATGCCCCAGTTTTTATTTAACCAATACAGTTGAAAAGATGTTTACACTCAACCATGATTCTTGGGGAGCTCCAGCTTCTCTTTTTAAGTAGCATCCAATTAAACAATTATCTGGATTATTTTCCATTCAGGCTGCAACCAGAGCCAGCATGACATACTGGCTCATCTATTCCACTCTCCTCTGGTTTCTGGCCACCAGTCAAATGGAAAGAACTCATAAATAATTATCAGCCTGAGTGGTTAGAATCTTGCCTTTCATGTTTTCAAATTTCCAGTCATTTACTTCCTTTTCCTCAATTATTTCTAATACCTTTCAGATTAATGGGAATTAGATCTGAGACAAAGGGTTAACAGAGCTTTCCTAATCCAAAGGCTCCCAGTCTCTGGAGAGGGTCCTTCAAGTCACAGAATTGTTGCTAAGGATGAGTGATTTCTTAGGTGCACCAAGAGTTATTGGTAAACTAAGCAAATGAAATGGTTTAGGTGGATTGTATGTGTCATACAGACTGCCAGTGATAGAATTATGATAAAACTTACATCTACTGCCTTCAAATAAGTTTTCACTATATATCAAACCACATTGCCTCTTCAGCTAAAACTTGGCAGAAATTCTCAAAAATTTAGTATAATCCTGATGTCATCAGTTGGAACCATACTTATTTTATAGTCTTGCTAAATATTTGTATCACAATTAGAGACAGAGTGGCCCATGTATATAATGCCAGGTAATCCACATGTCTTGGTTTAACACACATACATCATTTTTACATTTCCTTCACCTCAAGTTCGCTCTTGTTTAAATTTTGAACTAAAATAACTTATTTGTTGATACTGTTTTCTTCCTTTCATAACTACTTAAAGAATTATTTATTGAGTACTCCACCAACCATCTGTCAGCTTGTTGTACTATGGTGGCTTATATGTTGCTATAAGCAGGCTGTAAGCAATGCTACTGGTATTTCAAACACCAACTGGGTCACCTCTGGAAGACTGGTCTCAGTGGAACGTTCAGATGAAGACAGACTAAGAAGAAAAGCCTGGTGATCCACTCTAAAAAATCAGCCAAGGATAACTATGTATCACAACAATCATGGACATGGATCAAGATCAGACAATGCTTAATTATGTCATATATGCATAAAGTCATCATGAGTTGGAGCTGACTCCACAGCATTTGGCTACAGTAATAGCAATGAGTAATCAAAGAGCCTGAGAGCAGACAGTAAATCAAGCAAGAGACGAATCGGCATTAGGTTTGGATTACCCACAAAAGGCTGAATCTTCTTAGGGATAACCATCATACAATTTCTTTTTGATTAAAAACACTCAGCAAGTAATATTATAAGTGGAACCAAATGAAATTGCCTAAGTGTGACCATTTCCCCCCCAAAATCATAAAGCAATTAATGTACATCAACATAACACTTTTGTATGTTTTAACATAATAGCTATCATTCATATTCCCAAATCTTCACCATCTTTGGTGAAAGTCATGAATACCATATTTGTTTCTGATCATGCAGAAAAGGTCACTGTAAAGTCTTAGAGAAAATAAAATCAATTTTATATCTTGCTATAATATTCATGCTAAAAAGATGAACATACACCAAAACATGTCAGATAATATTTCATAATTTCTCATAAAAATCTGTGAATCTTATTAAAATTGATTTTTATTAAGGTTATCAATGCAATAAAGTAATATATAGTCTAAGGTAGCAAATAAAATTATGTTTTATCATATTTCAAAGTGCTAAATACCTAAAATGAATTATGACATGGCAATGGAATTTAAAATGATTTAAAATCATAATGTTTAACTATGTTGTTATGGGAAAAAAATAACACAAGCAGACATTAGCATAAGGATGATTTCCTTAAAATTTTATTGCAAAATCTAGGGCCAGTTCAAACATCCAGTTCCCCTCTGAACACTAAGTACCAACACACTGAAATTACAGATGGCCATGAGAGAATGCCAACAGTTTTCATTTGGCTTGTTTTAATGATCAAAGTTGCTATTTCAAATCTGTGAGAAAAATAATCACCACTCAAGTCCTCAAGCTACTTCCTCCTAAAATACGTAACTTCACGTTGCCTCTCAGCCCAGCTGGTGAAGTCAAAGTTGTTCCTGAGGAAGTCAGGAAAAATAGGGCTTGGTTCCCTTCCGGTCTCTTACTTTTGAGAACAGGAAGTACCAAGGGACTACAAAGGTAATGATTGCCAAGTGATCTAGCAGACAAACACAGCTTCTCCGTATGGTGTTCATTAAGTAAATGCCACTTTCAACTCTCAACCAACCTGAACACACTCATTAAGATAGGATCCCTAAGAAAGGAGACACAGTTATTAATTTAGATTGTTTATGGTTCCATTGGGATATAAAGTCTTTAAGGGAAATTATTGACATGTAATGTTGTCAATTAAATTATACATTTATGTGTTATTTATCTTTATATCTCTCTATTACTCCATCTAGAAAAATGCCTGGGAACAGCAGGAGTTCAAAAAGCACTGAAAAACTGAAATGAAGAAGCAATTTATTCCTGAAAGTCCATAAAATAGATAGCTGAGAAAGATAATCCTGAGTCAGGACATTTGCCCTTGAAAATTGTCATGAATGTGATCAGTGTCCCTGACATCTCCAACAACTGCAACCTTATATGGGACTCTGATCATCGTCAATCTTGATATATGATAAAGGAAATGATCATACTTCTTTCAATAGACGGATTCCTCTAGTTATGTCTGACACAGGCTCTGAAAAGTACCTTCTTGGAGTGGAGAATAGTTATTCTTGTTCAGGAGGAACCATTTTAATTTCTTTGTGTTCTACAGTTTTAAGTACTGCTCTGGTAGTGTAGTGGTTACGAATCATGCTGCTAATATTAAGGTCAGCAGTTCAAAACTACCAGCCGTTCTGCCAGAGAAAGATGAGGCTTTCTGCTCCCATAAAGATTTGCAGCCTCGGAAATGCTGTGCAGGGTCACTATGAGTTGGAACCGACTCCACAGTACTTAAAAACAACAACAACAACAACATGACATGAATTGCATCTCTGCAAAAAAGACATGCTGAAGTCCTAATTCTTGGTACCTGTAAACATGATCTTGTTTAGAAATAGGATCTCTGAAGATGCTATCAGTTAACATGAAGTCATACATAATCACCGCCACCACCAATTTGAATGGTTGATTATGTGCCATGGAGTTGGTTCCAACTCATAGTGACCCTGTACAGGGTTTCTGAGGCTGTAAATCTTTACAGGAGCAGAAAGCCTCATCTTTCTCCCATGGAACAACTGGCAGATTTGAACTGCTGACCTTAAGATTAGCAGCCTGATTTGTAACCACTATGCTACCAGAGCTCCTTTCCAATTTGAATAGTGTCCTTATAAAATAGTAAAGATACATAGAGAAATAGAGGGAGGAAGGGCAGCTGGGAGAAGATACATCTATTTGCAAGTTAACATATGCATGGGACTACCAGAAGCTGGGAAACACAAAAAATATATTCCCCTTGAGATGCCAGATAGAATATGACACACCAAATGTTGATTTGATCTTCTAGCTTCCAGAATGATGACAATAAATTTCTATTCTTTAAAGACACCCACTGTATGGTATTTAGTTATGGTAGCAGTAGGAAAGAAATGCAGGGTTTAAAACATCTGCTAGGAGAAGTAACACCCAGTAGATTGCAAGGTCCTTGGAACAGTGGCTATGTCAGTCACTAGTTAATGACATTGAAGAATGAATGACATGTGGATAGTCAATAAATCATTGAAGAAATAAAGTAATCTATTCACCCTAAAGCAGGAAATGCACATTTGTAAACCCTTCACTAACTAAGATGCTCCTGCCATTGATGGCACTTGCTCCAGTACTTACAGAGCTAAGAAAGAGGCCTGTACAGAGCAGACAGAGTTCCATTGAATGAATCTAATGGGCATGCTAATCCTGTGTGTCTCTAACAAACTCACTAGTCCAGTTTTTTCTTCCTAATGAATTACTGTGTACATACTAAATAATGCACCAATCTAAGGAATAAGAATTAATGAGATATTGCCCTAGGTAGAAAATATTACCACAGTTCAGTAATAAAAGTGGTAATAAATAAGTTGTTGCTAAGTGTTGTCAAATCGGTTCTGACGCATAATGACCCTGCATTGGGCTTCTGGCTTGTGAGTTTGAACTGCTGACCTTGTGCTAATGCGTCAGACTGCAAAGTCATTTGAACTGCAAGGTGGGTGACTCAAGTTCACCAGTTGCTCCTTGGAAACCCTACACAGGGTCGCTAAGGGTCGGAATCGACATGAGGGTACTTAACAACAACAACAACAATAGATAAATGACCATATGTTACAGATAATGCCAGAAATAAAAAGTATATCCACTACTGTTTAATTAAAAAAATAAAGTGATAGCTCTGATGACATTTAAAACAGCAAAGTGAAATTGCTAACAAAGTATTCTAACTTCCATTTTTTTTCTGTTGTTGAATTGCCTTTAGCTAAAAAGAACATAACCAGATCAGTCTTGAGGTACAATGCTATCTGTGATAGGATAATATCCATGCACCTACAGGGAAGCCAGTTAATACCACAATTATAAAAATTTGTGCACCAACCACAAAATCCAGTGAGGATGAAATAGAAGAATTCTACCAACTTCTTCAATTTGAAATCAATCAAACACACAATCAAGATGTCTTGATCATTACTGGTGATTGGAATGAAAAGGTTGGGAACAAAGAGGAAGGATAAGTAGTTGGAAAATATGGTCTTGGTGATAGAAATGATGCTGGAGAATGCATGATAGAATTCTGCAAAACCAATGATTACAAATACCTTC